CACACACACACACACACACACACACACACACACACACACACACACACACACACACACACACACACACACACACACACACACAGAGTGATTATTTACAATTTTAATCAGTCCAGAATGTGGAAATGTGAGTGAAATTGCAGAAGCCCCGAACATAGATTAGCATGTGCCCTCAATTTGGGGCTAATTACTACTTTGCATTTTCAATCAGAGCCTGTGCTGCTTTTGCCACATTTTTCCACCGTTCTACGACAACTTCTCAAACTCGGGACGGAGTGAATTTATTTCTCTTAGCGCAAACGGTGCGTGGATCAACATGAAATGGCGATCAGTCAGAGTGGGAAGCGTGTTTCTTGGCTACCTCTGGTTTGACGGCCTGTCAGCGGTTTGCTTTCTGCGGGCGTCGGAATGACAGCGAACCCCCTGACGGTCCAATCAAGCAGATTAAATTGTATATTGACACTTTCAGATTTAATTAACCAGATTATAGGGCCAGCAGAGACAAAAGGAAGTGCTAATGATAGCTGTCGCTTATTATAGGATCGCCCTTTTGACATACACCAACACACACATACACACACACACAGAGCAGCGTTGTTTAAAAAAAAAGGGAGCAAAAAATGTCAGGGGCACACACACTTTCAGGAGCTGATGAAGTGAACAGCTGCCAGCTGCACTGGAATGTCCTGCGGAAACTTTATTCACATATTTCACTGCAATTACACATAAATAGAACCACTCTGAGCTCACACACTAGGACGCACAAACAGTGCATTGTGTCGCGCCTCCGCCCATAGAGGCTTCAAAGGCGTGACTTTTTCAGATGACATCGTGTCAGTTCACCGCTTCCAATTTAAAACCACCCCTCGAAAGTATACACTTCTGAGGCCTCCTGGACGCATATCTGGCAAGGGGTCCTGCGCCCATCCCACCAGGAGAGGAAGATCACACTCGAGTGACCGTTTCCTGGCTGAGTTGGTAACTCGTAACCTGGCTCTGGAAGATCTTGAGCGAGCTGGCTAGGGGGACAAAAGTCGCTTAAGATGCTGCCCCCTTGACTGACCCCTGGCCCCCAAATAGACAATAAAAGCCGTCTATTTGTATTTTTCGTTGAGACACTATTTCATCATCAGATCGTCAAACTAACACTCGGTTAGTTTCGAATCTTTTAGTTTCAGGATCCATGTGTGTGGCCCAGGCAGTGGACACTTCACCAAACACCAATAGCACAATGACTAATTTGACATTTTTGGGGACATATTTCAACCTAAATGTCAAAATTAAGATGACCATATCTGGCCTGAGATGAACAAATTCATAAAAAACAGAACAGCGCACGTCAATTGGATTCATGTGAATTAGGATAAGCGTTTCAGATAACGGATTGACGTATGGATAATCCATTCAAGAACCGTTGCTTCCGTTCTAAAACTTATTACTTAGTTGTAATGGTGTTGTTTTTTCAAGTTTTCCATTCTAAATATCATACAAGTGTAAAAAAAAAAAGGACTTGCCTGCAAAACATCAGTTTAACTAATTAAAATGAAAACACGATGATGGATGTACACCGCGAGAGAGGGAGAATTGCTGAAGGCAGCCGACTTCATGCATCATTGCTTTTTTTGCATTCATAACTGTCAGCAGTTTGACCTTTGGAGTTTTGTGCAACTTTATTGGCCTACTTTTCCCCACAAACTTTTGAAGCCATTTTGAATTGTGCAACTTTGCACTTTGAGGCACCACCATCAGTGTCAACATTGTCAATCCTCTACGAGCCTCTTGAACTCCTCCCAGTTGT